CCATGAACCTGCAGCCTCACTGTAAGCTCTCCAACCAGAGACCAGTGAATGGCCTTTTACCTTCTCAGCCTGAACTGGAGCGTACCATCTGCTCAGGTAATCAGAGGGTGAGCTGGTGCTGATACAAAGCTCTCAAATAATACAGACTCAAAAACAAAACATTAATCTAAGATTCCTTTGTAACTGCCGACAAGCACAATTTATTTACAACACAAATACACACTCATGAGTGCGTCAACTTTGACATAAAATCATTTACAGCAGAATAGTTTTACCTCTACTCCAACAACTTGGCACTGCTCCTCACTCACTGCTTAGAGGACCTAATCTCACACACACACACACACACACACACACACACACACACACACACCTGTGTCCACTATCACTAATTAAGCCAATGATCTGTACAACAGCAAATATCTTTTTTTAATCCTTATTACAGATCTTAACTTAAACAAGCCTAACTGACAAATAATAAACAGATTAATTCAAACATTGGATTCAAATTAATTAATATAATTACACACAAACTATTAATTCAAGACATCACACCAGATATAAGTATTCTAATTGTTTTTAAACTTTGAGCTTTCATTTCTTTTTACCCTGTCTGAGATATTCACTACAATTAAAATCTTTTACACCTAAAAAACATTTTCCCAAAAATCCAACACATGAAATCTAGGAATGTTAGTTTTGATGGAAACCTTTGAAACTGTTTCATTGACCGTTGATTTGTTGCACCTTGTGAGCACAGGCTGGTTGTATAAAGATTTGTTGCAACAGTCTCAGTAATATTGATACTGAATCATAATTCTTTACATAATCTGTGGTCACGTGTTGCTGCTCAATAAAAGGAAATTGCTGTATTAAATCTACTCCTCTAGCTACATTCTCTTGTAGTCGTTCCTCAAAGCATCAACTGTCTCCCCCTCCAGGTCCCAGAGGGTCATGTGGTCATGCTGTCTTTCCGTCTCTTCGACATGGAGGCCGACCCCACCTGCCGGTACGACTACCTGGATGTCTACAACGGTCACTCCCGCTTGGTGCAGAAGCTGGGTCGTTTCTGCGGGACGTTCCGACCCGGCGCCCTCATCTCCACCTCCAACACCATGATGCTGGACATGGTGTCAGACGACGCCACTGGAGGAAGAGGCTTTCTGGCTTCCTTCAGCGCAGGGAAGCCACATATGGAAGGTGTGGATACAGAAACACACAGACCAGAATGAAGTGAAGATGTTTTGTCTGGTGTCTCGACTGGTGTCTTTTATATTTTTGAAAATCCACAACATGTTTCTTTTTGCCTCAAATACAGTAATACAGGGAAGAAAAAGTCCTTCACTTGTTTGAAGAAGACTTGTTTCAGAGTCCTTTTTTTTTTTTATTCCCGCAGAGAACCAGTTCTGTGGAGGACGGCTGACCAAAGAGCAGGGCTCTGTCAAGACGCCCAACTGGCCCAACTCTAATTACCCAGCAGGCATCAGCTGCTCCTGGCACATCTCTGTAGAACCAAGCAATGTAAGCCAATTGTATTGCACTTTGTATTTCTAATCGTCTCCCTCAAATACTCCCTATTGCAGTCAGAGTGACATCTCAGGTTATGCGCACATATGGTAATATTTAGCTTCAATCTCCATCTATTGATACATAACCCTACTCTGCTCGATTGCAGTTAGGATGTCTGCATGGGAGTTTTGACTGACATCTGTCAGTCTGATTTTCTATGTAAGTTCCCCATACGACCTTGCAGAGGATGGTCAGCCTTTTATTCACCTAATGGGATGGCTCGGTTCCCACAACTTTGGCTGAGAAATAAATACGAGCAAAAAGTGACAGTTAATTTTCAGTAGGCTGTAAAGCATCAAACCATCAGCAGACCTTTATTCAAGTAATGAAGGACATTTATTCATAATCATACAACACAAGGCTGTATAACGAAATGAGAGTTTGTAGTTCCTTCCTGCTACACAAAAAGATAATCAAATTCATAGAATAATTTAAGATAAATAAAACACAACAAAATAAAATATTATAAGATATACACACACACGTACATTGAATGTTGTAAATGGACCGAAGGCTTAAATCTGGTTCATAGTGACTGCTAAGTGAGTTTGTTGTCAAATGGCAAAGAAATGCCTTGTAGCTTTAAGGTACAGACTTATAAGTTCTCCAATCAGTAGCACACATAAGTAAGCACTGAAATGGGAAACGCCCACAAATATGGCCCAAAAACAGTTATATACACTCATTAGACAGGAGAACAAATATCCACAATATTAGCATCATATTTATTATTTCCTCACACAAAAAGTGACTCCAGCTGGACTTTGAATATGGTGTGTTGAAAAAGGCTAGTCGATGTCGGAGGAGAAGGAGGAATGAAAATAGTAGTACAGGGGCCCATCACAAGGAAATGTTCTACCTCTGGCCCCTAATGTAGTATATTTCTGTGTATGTGTGAGTGTGACGGCGGCCTTGTGACGAAAGTTCAAATGAAAGACTTCATTGAGTGCCTGAAGGTGTGTTCATGTGTGCCAAGAGATTGAACGCAAGGAAGGAGGGAAGGAAGCGAGAGCGAGGGAGAGAGTAAATGCCCTTCTGTATTTGAGAAGTCTGGCCCTTTTCCACCACCACTACTACTACTACCACCACTACCTATGTCTGCACTGCACTGAGGAGTAAACCAGCTCACATCATTCATTCCCTGTCATTAATTTCATAGTTTGCTGTGGCGTGTTTGTGTGTTCATTGCCACCTCTTCCCCAGGTGATCGAGGTGAAGTTTGTGAAGCTGGATTTGGAGCCTGACACATACTGCCGCTACGACTATGTGGCACTGTTTAACGGGGGAGAGAGGGATAACTCGCGGCGGATTGGGAAATTCTGCGGAGACAGGGCACCAGGGTGAGATTACTGATCAGAAATCAATCAAAGTTGCTTTGTAAAGGCAGCTGAGCTCTGCCAGTGTTTCCTGTATTTTCACATTTCTCTTTCCACTTTGCTATTCCTCCTGCATTTTTCACTCCATTCATCCTTTACATAGAACAATAGTGACAAATGGGAACGAGCTTCTTGTCCAGTTTGTCTCTGACCTCAGCGTGACCTCAGATGGCTTCATGGCCTACTACTCCAGCGTGCCTGGTGGGTCTCGGACGCCCACTGCCGGCGGAGACTTCATCTATGGCCCTCAATCCACCTCAATGCCACAAAAAACGGGCGTGAAGCCAATCAAACCCACCAAACCGCCCCTTAAACCTAGACCGACCCCTAAACCGAGACCAACCTCCAAACCTAGACCTGGCCTCCAACCTAAACCCACCCCAAAACCAGCCAAAAAACCACTGGTGAAGATACCCCTGAAACCTCCACCACCACGCAAACCCATCGTCAAGCCCACACCGAAACCCAAACCAGCCAGACCCACACCTAAAGCACCTGTGAAAAAGCCTGCACCTAAACCTGGAGCTAAACCTACAGCCAAACCTAAGATTATTAAACCAACACTCAAACCAAGCCTCAAGGCTAAACCCACACGTAAGCCTTTCCTGAAGACCAAGCCCACCTTAAAACCTGGTGTCAAACCAGTAAAGCCAACCCCCAAGAATGCAGTTAAACCAACAGTCAAACCAAAGATTAAGCCTAAAGCGACTTTAAAACCTGGAGTAAGCAAGACAGTGACGAAGAAGCCTGTTGTGAGCAAGAAACGTGAGTGGAATAAACAATCTAAACTCTCATGTATGTATGTGCACAGCAAGTTCATGTGCTTATCGTGTGTTTGTGATGTTGCCGCCTCTGTTTTCTTCAGCTTTACCACTGAACCCACTGTGTACACAAGCCTGTAAGAGGACAGGAACTCTCCAATCAAGCTTCTGCCCTCATGACTTCGGTGAGCCACCTCAGCTGCCTTCTCGTCTTCATTAAACTCCCACTATATTTTCACATCTCTACCTTTCCAAAATGCCATTTGCAGTATTTTTTTTCTCTGTAGGTTTTCATCCAAGTGTAACTCAAATTTTAACAGAACTTTCAGAAAATCTGCTAAATAAAATGCAAACGTATCTATGTTTCCATCCACTACTGTTTTGCAAATACTAGTTTCATCAAGACAGGCAGGTGGTGCCAATTCTGCCATTATACTATTGCAGAAGAAAGGGGGCGCAACAAGATAGTGTAATTAAAAGAGCACCAGTCAAACCTCAAATGGTGGGGAAAAAAGCAGAAAACATGATCAACATTTGGCATCTATAAGTTTGGTTTCATGTAGTCATTTGAGAAAGGTTACAGTCTTGTAGCTTCACACAAATCTGATATTTTCACCTGTGGACATTTTTCATGTCTCCAGTGGAGTGCAAGTTCCTGTGGATGTTAAAGTGACATGCTTCATGTGCTTCATGATTAATTCAGTTAAAGTCTGTTTTCATTGAACTTACTCCCTTTTTTTTCGATAGATGTATTTATTTTTATATATTTATGTTGAGTTTTTATACGCAGATGGAAAATGCGCATAGAAGCGGCTGAACTTGATAGACATGCACCTTATGAAGCTTTTATTATGATGTGATTTGGTTGTGTTGTCATGGGTTTCATAAATGAATATTTAGATGTAATTCTTCAGAAATAGCAAAACATTTTGGCCATAATATGTTGCAATTGCAGTTCCTTCACTGACTGTGCAACTCCTTTCTCTTTCTATGCATTCTTTCTTTTTTTCTCTCTTTCAGTGATTACTGGTAAGATTACATCTTTGGCCCCTGGTCCGAGTGGCTCAGCGACAGTTGAAGTGTCCCTAATCAAGGCCTATAAGTCAGGACGCCTGAACATCACCAAATCAGGGCCCGTCATGTCGGTCATACTGACCTCCACCTGCAAGAGATGTCCCGGGCTAACCAAAGGTACAGTCGAAGTATTTACAACCTAAGTCTGTCTTACACACACACATTGGTCAGTTTCTTAGTCTTAGAAGATCTAGATAGAGAAGGTAAAGACTATGCTTCATACCATGCAATATATTTATTAAATGTTGATCACAAATTATTTACAATTACAATTACATTAATTCTTGCAAATAAACAAAGAAAATATCATCATTAGTTCTTTTATTTCAGATCAGTAAGGTTTAACCACGAAGAACTGAAAATATAGTAAACATCATGTTTTGACCACACAAATTAAGCATAGTGTTAGTTCAGACAGGCCACGAAGTCAGGCTTGGCTCTCCATTCCAGCTATATTATATGATCACAGCTAATCGTAAACACACAGTCAGCTGACAGCTCAGCTGATTCCCTCAAGCATCCAATTGGTAAATATCATTTAGGGCGCCTTATTTAAGCTGCTTTAGCCTGCCTATCTTTGCTGCTTCCTCTACAAGCCGTTTTGCAACCCACCTCCACCCCAGCTCCTCCTTTTTAGGTTGTATCTAATTAATCTATGTCATTTTCAGATTGCCATTGATGCTTGCTCTGTTCTGTACCCTGGGGGGTCTCTTCTGCCGCTCTCCTTGTCTTAAACCTTTCCATGTATGCACATGGAAGGGCAGGGAGGTGTGCTCTCCCTGCCTTAAGGTTTTCCACGTAGGCACATGGAAAGGCAAGGAGATCCCAGAACAGAGCCATACCGCCAAATGTAATATTCTTCTGCTTAGGAATAAAAGTTATTTTGACAAAAGTGGTCCTGACTGAACTAACATTAATGCTAATGTCAGACATAGACATGTTAATAATTCAAATGCAATGAAAAATAAATAAGCTGGTTACAAATTATGGTATAGAATATAGATAAATAAATGTAAACTGTATAAACTGTAAAAATAAACTCTCAGTATATGCAGATGATCAAATTTTTTATTTAACCAATATATCTCAAATTAATAGTAACTAATCAGCTATTGAATTGATTCCGTGCCATACATTTCCCAACATTATTTGACCTTAAACATTACCCATCCAGCTCATCTGGTATTAGACAAATTCTAATGTATTTTTTCTCACACTGTCACTTCTCCAGGTCAGAACTACGTGTTGATGGGAAAAGTCGACACACAGGGCAATGGCCTTATCAGCCCCTCCAGCTTCACACTCCTCTATAAGCCCATCCATGCCAAAGCGCTGGCCAACCTCTCACGCAAATCGTGCTGACATCATAGCCCAGCGTACCAATCAGATTGACAGCCTGGACTGTCTCTCTGAAAACATGTAACTTTATCTAAAGAGTGAAAATATTATGAGTAATATCCAAACAGAATTTTTTACATGATACAATACTGTCGTGAAGTTATTTTAAAAAGAGAAAACATACAACATTAAGTATTATATTTTGTATTTTGTATGTAAATTATAATATTTCTGTGATAAAAGATGCACAACAATAAACCATGTGAGGCTGGTGCTTGAGGTGATTTTAATATTTCCTTTCTTGTATTTTCCATGATGATGTATGACATGATTAACTCTTAGTACATCCACCAACTACCCTGATAGTGACCTACTGTGTAGGTGAGTTGTTTTTTAGTTCTATCCAACTTTCTTTATCCCTGCAAGGGCATTTGTGCCTCGTCAGGCTCTTGTTGCAACAAGCAATAGTGGCAGGACAGAAACAGCACACCTAGTAGGACATAGGTCAAGTTGGTCATCCAGAAGGCAAATAAGTAGAGTGTCTTGTCGCAGTAGGCATTGGCTTGTGTTATGTTCTTGTTGTAGTTGGGCTCATAAATAGAGTAGACCAGTACATTACCTGAAAAAAAACAACCAAAAAACAAGAAAATAAATACACATTTGTCTTTTCTGTTGCAGTGCTTGATCACAGTTTCAGAGCTTACATATTAATAATCATAAATGTTGGCTTTACACCTATGATATCCATTCAGTATATATCAGCAAATAGTGTTTTTCATGTGTTTCAGCTCACAACTACCTAATGGATGTATCTAAAACTGCATTCATTTTTGTCCACTTGAGGGCAGAGGGACTATACAACAAGTTGACTAATGTATCTCTCTGACATACAGGTATATTCCTTTTGAATGTTCCTATGGCTGGACAAGGATCTTATTTCACTTCAGCAAACAGATCAAAATTAACATTCATTTGGAGTCATATTTTATCCCCTGGTCACTTGTCAAAGTCCAATATTCACATTCCTTTTCTCTTTGTTTTGATCATCTCGTCCTACTCCTGAGAAAGTATCTTAGTCTTGCTCACTGTGGTATTCAGTGCTGGGCAGGAAGTGTATAGTGAGTTTATTATTTTGCCTGAAGTCAGCTGCCTGTTGCTGGGTTTGACCTACCCATACAGTAAAATTGCGGGTCATAAAACAAGTACTGAAAGATACCATAACACTCAATATATCTGCAGAGTTGGGTGCTAATTCTATCGCCGTGAGCAATAGGTTTCACATTACTCATTGACTGATTAGTGGAGCTCAACCTACTTTTGTCAGGACATTGGTTTTATTTCAGTTTTCTACATTTAAGACAAACCCCAGCTTTATTGATCCCTTGCACTCTCTCCTTTGTTCCAAAATATAGTCCTTGGTTGGTACATCTCTAACCACCATTAATAACTATAGAAGGAAAATAATTAATAATTTAAGATGTGGTATGTAATTTAAACCTCATTGTATTTATAGAATTATAGTTTTCACAATAGCCACCAAATTAGAAGTGAAAGTTTAGCAAATATAACCAATGTTTGAACTTTAGTTATGATATACTCCAACTTCAGATGACAAATAATTTGTGTACATCCCTTACCAACAATAAACCAGATGAAAAACACTGAAAAGACCAGGTAGCAAAAGGATGTGTTAAATTTCTCAAAGCGCCAGAACAGCAGGCTGTTGACTCCCATCATCAACAAATAGATGGGGATGAAGGGCTGCCTCGGACAGTCGCTAATGAACACTACTCCTGTTGGACACGAGTACAAAGACAAAGAAGAGTGTCACTTCCCCTGCCTCATCGATTAATGATTATTACATTGTTCATGATTGCAATACACAGTTCTGATTGTCTGGTGTTTTAAAAGTTACTTTTCTGGCACAAAAAGTAAATTTTGATGCCATGAACACAATCTGAATACATTTTGGACAGTAAGTACACCAGTACTTACTGTCAAGAGGTATATTGTGCTGTATCACTTACCAACTACCCCTCCAGCCAAAAGCATGATGTTGAAAATGGCTGCAGTACATACTGAGGGTAAACACACAAAATACATTTTTATGAATAAATGACACTACACACCAGACTTTAATACCAAAGATTTTGCACGTCGCTATCTCTCACCTGCTATTACTGCCGGGAGTCTGCAAGTGACTTGAGGTCCGTCACTCTCTGTCATTATTAGTAATGATTAATCTAACCTACAAAGAGACGGATACAGCAGCTGTCTATACTGACTGTGTGGTACATTAAACAAGAAATCAGTCTAAGTATAAGAAAATACTTCATTGTAATACATGCAGATCAAGTGATAGTATCAGATAGGTCTTACCTGATTGTCTGACTCCTGCTCAAAGCAAAAGAAAAGGCCCTTTGCATGAAAACTTTGTTATATAATGTGCCTATGTGCCACTTCCTATTTCAATGGGTTTCAATGGATTCTTTTTTTCAGTTCCTTTTCCATTGTGGGAGGATGATTTGAGTAAAGCTAAATACTCTACATGAATCTATATGTTTATATGAGACACGGTTTAATATTGTTATAGATTTTATATACACTCTCAGTGTTAGCTAATTTAGATTTCCAAGGTCTCTTGTTTGTACGAAACTTAAATAATACTCTGCCACCTTCATAGAATGTCTTTAATCCTGTTTTACAAGACAAGAGTTAGATGTTAACTCTTGGAAGAATAAATCTGCTAGGACAGTGGTTCACAACCTTTCTGGTGTTAAGGATCCCCAAAGTCTACCAAACCCTATCACCCTATCACAACACTATCACCCTATCACAACACATTTTTAAAATTCATCTAAATGAATGAGTGGTAGCAGGGGTGGAAAGGCCTTTTTTAGAGGTGGTCTGATGTAGCCCTCTATATCTGCCCACACATGGACAGAAACACAGTTTAAATCCACCAGTGTGAGATTTTATTTAGGTTGTTTTGTTGGTATCTCCAAAAAAAAAAAAAAAAAAAAAAATGCTCATTTGGAAGTATTTACATATGGTGGGTCTGAAGCCAAACAGGTCTTGTTGCAGCAATGATCCACATCTGTTATTGTCTTATTGTAGTTGGGTTCATAGATTGAGCAGATCCACGCATGGTAGAGAAAAATAAGACAATGGTATACTGTGATTGTATATAAAGGACAGTTTCACTTCTGGGTTGCACTTCTGTGCTTCTCATACGTGTGGGTGTTTCACCTTCACAGATATTGGATTTAAGGGAAACTTTGCAGTTTCCCTCAGCTTTAGCATTTTATCGTCTTTTAACTTATCCTTTTGGTTTTACAGCTCTCATCAACCTTGTTTCCAAAACAGATCTTTAAAAGCAAGAAAGCTCTAAAAACCCAATTTTACGCTACAGGATGCTGACCAGGAGCCAGACATTTTCCTTTCAAAGACTTTGAGGACCAAAATGGAACTAAGTTTCTTGAAATATGACTCAAAATTAAAGACGTAGAGAAAATCTTGCAGACTCAGTAATTTCAGTTACACAGCAATATCTCTGTAAAGATTGCCAACGTTAGCCACCATGGGCTACTGTTCATACCGGACGAAGTGACTGAAGCAGCAAAACCTAGAGTTTAAACTAATGTGTTAACACAGTGGTTTCAAGTCTGGGTGACAGAACAGCCCCCATCTTAGTGTAATATAATATTTTATGGATCACATAAAAATAAACTTTTTACACGTAGTATTTTTTCCATGTTCTTTCTACTAACTTTAGGTTTGTTTGTTTTTTTTTGTTTTTTTTGTGGAAAATCATCAGAACCCTAAATATTAACTGATAAAGCCAGTGACAACAGCTCACAAAAGCTTAATTCTGTTTGTCAGAATGTGGTATTACTTTGTGTAGAGGCCTTAGGGGGACATCTAGTGGCTTTTTCATATTATTGCAGGGCATAAAAAGAAAGCTGGGTTCTCCATAAACAACAATAATAAACAATTTTCATGTAAATAGCTCACAGCTACAACTGCTCCAGTTTTTAAACTTAACAGCAATGAACCAGCACAAGTAAGGAGAGACAGCTCAAGCACATGAAGGCCATGTTAGAAGGCTTTAGGGCTATGAGAACGGGTCGGCAGGAAGGGCCCAGCTGACAGCAGGTTGTAGCCTCCCATTCCTATAAAGTAGCTTTGGGTAGCTATTGTGGTACAGTGACTCCAGATGGACAAAGATCAGGTTACATTTTGGGGGAAATGGGTATAAAATTATGCACAAGACATCTAAGAGCATGCTCTTTAACCAAAGAACACTTGGATGATAGATGATAGATCATTTAAATTAATTAACTTTTCAGAGTGACACGGACCCCACTTCACTGATCTAAAGTATTCAATGGAAACGTGAGGTGAGGTCAGTCTGTCTGTGTGTGTGTGTGTGTGTGTGTGTGTGTGTGTGTGTGTGTGTGTGTGTGTGTGTGTGTGTGTGTGTGTGTCTCAACTTCCTGTTTCAAAGTTTTGCTTTTTGATGTTTGATTTCAGTTCCCTCTGGATCCTAACGGTGAGAGTGAGGATGATTGAACTAAAGCCAAAGACTCAAATAATTCAACATTTATCTGTATCTTTTGAGGAAATGCTTCCTACTAAAAATGAGTTGGCAGCTGTTCTGGGAGAGATTGAAAGACAAGGAAATGTTTCCAAATACCGAGTTGGATTGTAAATTATTTATCACAAGGGATAAGATATACTTTGTGGAAATGGGTTTATATAAAAACTCAAAAGGTTAAAGGACCAGTGTGTAGGATTTAGTGGCATCTTGCAGTGAGATTACAACCAGCTGAAACCCCTTCGACTCAAGCAAGTGTGTAGGAAAAACTACGCTGGCAAGAAATGTGTGAAAGGCCCAGTCTAGAGTTAGCGTTTGGTTTTGTCTGTTCTGGGCTACTGTAGAAACATGGTGGTTCAACATGGTGGCCTCCGTAGAAGAGGACCAGCTCCCACTGCAGATAAAAACCACTCATTCTATAATGTTCTATAAGAATGTTTGTGTTTGTACTTTAATATTATTTCCATTGTATGCTGCTTTATACTTTGACTCCATTGGAGGCAAATAAAGTAAATAAAGTACTTTTTACACCACTATATACTGTAAGAAACTTGACTTTAAATTGTATTTTATTCACGCATATATGTGTGGCTTATATTAAGACAACACTGATACAATGGGAAGTTTGGCATGTTTTATTAATTTTTTGAAAATATTCAACTTAAACATAAAATATTTCCTTAATTGTAAGTATTTTTTTTTTCAGATACTTTGTAACTTTATACATAAAGAAAAAATTCTTTATTCATTTATTTGTTAAATAAAATACTGTTTCAAAAGGAGTAACTATTTCTGTGACCAAAATGCATAACCACAAACCATTAGATGTTGTTTCTTGGATCGTTCTTTTTATACAAAATATCCATCAGACCCGAGATGAAAAAAAGATGAATATTATTATGTTTGGTCATTAAATCCAACCACTCTAAATGTTTGTTCAGTTGTCGTTTTTTTAAAATTCCCACCATACAGAAAGTATGAGTAACAGGTAGAGAGAATGAGGAGACCCAACAGGATGTAATGCACATTAATGGTCCAGAAGGCGAACAGGTAGAGAGTCTTGTTGCAGTATCCACCAACATCCTCCGTCATCTTGTTGTAATCATGCTCATAGATGGAGTAAATCCACACATTACCTTGAGAAAAAGAAGCCCGAGAGAATAATTACTTTTCACATAAGTGTTTCACAAAGTTGAATTGTAGCACAAATTTTAGCTTGTTTGTTTTGTTTTGAGAATATTTTGTCTTAAAGAGTATTTTTAATTTTATGTTTAGATTTGTAAAACGTAAAAAACAAAAACAGATGAAGAAACTGTTAAAACTGATTAGACTGTACATTTTAAGTAACTCTAACTCAATTTTGTAGGTTAAAAACAAAATTCTTAATCAAGTAGCTTTTAGTAATTTTAAGTGACATTGACTTAATTTTTCATTTGTACTGTGAACTCTCCTGTTAAAATATTAGATGTCATCTGTGTCAACATTTTTTTTTAGTTAAAATAACTTTGTATTACAGTGATCAAACTAAGATCACCATAAAACAGCCAAAACTATTTCTGTCCTTGTTGTTCCAACTTAAAAAAAAATATTGTATTCCTCTCCTTTTGCTGGGACCCCCTTACAACAGACTCAAGGACCCCTGCTGGACCTCATTTTGAAAACCACTGTTAGACCACAACTGCAGTCTTTCTGCCTACCAGCGATGAACCAGCAGACGAAGAAGAGAGAGACAAGGGCGCTCCAGAGCTCGCTGTTATTCCCGAAGCCGGCGGCAGTGCAGGGCAGGAGGTTGAGGGCCACCAGCAGCAGGGTTATAACTCCCATTACTAACAGGTAGACGGGGATGTAGCGCTGCCTGGGGCAGTCGAATTGGTACATTGCTCCTGTAGGAGCAAAACCCAAACTATATCACTCCACCTGCCTCATGTATTAATCATTGCATTTAAAAAGTTGCTTAAGATACAAATAACACAACCTTCATAACAGTGAGTGCACCAGTCACTTACCTATTACTAGCTGAGCAAAGGCCATGCCGGTCATAAATAGCTGTATACATACTGAAGGAAGACAGAATGTTAAACTCAACCTGAAGTGACTTTATGTGGTGAAGTTACTTTAATATGTGCACATCGCTGTCTCTCACCTAAGATCACCACAGGAGGTTTAGGAAGTGTCCTGATGGGTCGGCCACTCTCTGACATTGTCTGTTCTGCTCAATCTAACCTACAGAGGGTCAGAGAGAAGAGAGTAGACATCAGATATTCACTCTACAGCAAAAATCCAGTCTGTACGCTCACAACTGGCAGAGGGATGACATTTCACAAGAAGTGCTCTTTCACTCAAAAATCTAGTGGTGAAAAAGGTCCACTAACGTACAAACTGTAGCCTACTTCCCTGAAAATAAATGGCAATGTCGTTTAACTGCAAGAACAGTATAAAGCAAAAACAGTCACATAAATCTGATATAATTACTAATAAAAGGTAGAAAAGAAGGAAAAAGTGTGTTTTAAAATTGTTTTTAGCTATAAATCCATTAAACAAAAGCTCAGTAGACTAATATTTATGTTACATTTAAAGAAAAATAGGCAGTAAATTCTGCACATGTAGAAATGATAAGTAAGAGGATAGGTCATGTACCTTCCTGTGTGTAAGAGTACCTCCTCGGTGTATCTGCTCCCTGACAGCTGGAGGGGAAATAAATTATGAACTGCTACAACTGTAGATTAGAGACAGTTCACGGAAGTATGTGTGGTTTCAACTTCCTAATGCAACGCCTTTCATCTTGATACTTGTTTTCTGTTCCCGGTCTATTACAACAGCGTCTGTTAATGAGTTGTAAAGTCATAAAAACTTTAACTTTAATAATAAAACCGTAATAATTCAGCATTAATCTGGATCTTGTTTTCCCGTTTGTCGGAGCAGAAGTTTCCCTGCAACCTTCAGTCTGGATCCAGGCTTTGATCAGTGGAAGGTTTTAGATCCTCCTCACCAAAGATGCCCAAAAAATTCTTCTAAAATATCAAGAGTCTCAAGTTCTCTGAAGAATTACAGAATCAATGTGATGAATTAAGTCTCTTTCCTTCATACTGCATGTAGTGAAGACCTCAACATGATTTTCAAAGCGCCTTGCCTTTGAGTGGCTGACCTCCTGACAAGACTGATTCAGTCAGTTAATCATACCTCAAATACCTGCCTTCCTCAGTACACCAACCTTTTAATGTGAGCTCTCATCGGACTACCCAATTTTTGAGTTTCCATACTTTTTTTTGTTTTCACTGTTAAAATGCATCATTCTTAGTCTTGTCTTAAGGTTTTTTTTTTTTTTTGGTTGCTTGCAAGCAAATATATGACATTCTTCCTCTGTTTACAATGCTCTAGGACTGAAAGAGGGAAAAGTTATAAGACTATAGTTTTCTGTTGTCTGTGTGTAAGATATCTGAACCCAGATCTGAGGACTCAATTGCAAAACTCAAATTCACAGAGCAGGTGGAGTTAAAGAGGCTGAGGACTGAGACAAACTGGCAAAGCCTGAGGCAAAAATATGCTGATATATACTGGGTGACTAATGAGGGAACGAGGGTCAGGTGAGCAGGTGGAGATCAGGTGGTTCAAGTGGGCGGGAACACACTGAGGGCAGCTACCAGACAGGAGGAAATCAGAGCCAAGTTGAGGTCAGAGGTTAACAATAAGTTGTAAAAGAAAAGTCCTGATTACAAATTGGTGAAAACTGGAATTGACATATTATTATATATTACGTATTTTCTTGTGTTGCACTAGCTGTGTAATTGACATGATGAGGCATTGTCAAACGTCACCAAACTTACTTCCATGTTTGTAGTTGTGAAGCTGCAGACATTACTCTCCAAACAGTGAAATTTTACTCCCACTAGAACACGTTGCTTTCAGTTTTATAATTATCAACACAATAATTGTTCACTTTCTTTAGTTTTCAGTGAAATCTGGTATTTTAGGCCACAATCCTCTAAAAACAGCCTGCAAAATCCTGGAGAGACTGCCTGTATCTGCACACAACATAAATAATATAAAATGATGATCTAAAAATGTCCAGGAACTGCTGTTTGTAGTTAGTCATAATTTTGTGCTTTCTTGTACTACCTGACAATACCAGCAGTCACCTCAAGCCAATTTGAGTTTGAGACCCCGATATGAGTGGAAGTTCCCAGGTTTTGGCATCATAATTTAACCCGTCTTACTTCATGGAGTCACTTGGATGTTGCATTTCCTCCAGCAGTTTTTAACATCAGACTGCTTACACATTGCACATTTCCTGTTCCTGAACTGTTTGTTCCTGTAGTTTCCACACCTTTCTTTATCTTTTAATGAATTCTTCAGATGGCAAAATTCAACAATGCATCATGGTTAATGTACTCAATGTAATCTTAATATTTAGTATAAAACTTACAGCAATGAAACTCATCTGATAGTTTAAGTTTAATGTTGAGATTAAATATCCCATAAAAACCAAAAAGGGAACCATTAGAAATGCCAGGAATAAAGCACTGCTGCATCAGGTAGCATTAAGTATTTCATAAGGGCCTTTAACATATAAGAAATCATTGATTAGTAAAGTGCATGATGGGAACTGTGTGGGGTATGATTGGTTAATGTCCTTCCTTACACAAATTATCAACAAACATGAGCATTAAAGCAAAAAGAAATGAATTAATTCTGAAAGAACACACATTTGCATTAGGAAATCGTGGGGAGCTCCGGGAACCACAGACTGGACAGGAGGAGCAAGGACATGGCACAGACACTGGAGCTTCAGGAGGAGTCACAGGCACTGAGGGTGAAGACGGCAGAGAACCAACGCTGGTGGACATAGCTAGTATTCTCTGAGCCAACATGAGCCAGCAAGAGGCCCAGGATGCTCGACTGAGGGAGGAGTCTGCACGCCAAGAGCAGCGGTTTAAAGCAATCCAACATCAGTTCCGACTGCTACAGCTCGAGGTGCAGGCTCGCACTTCCCCAACCCCAGAGCACACCTCAACTGACTCAGATGAACCTGGTCCACAAACCCAAATAGCCCTGGCACCTGAGGGTGCTCCAGCCATTCCCTCATCAGGTCAGTTTCAGTTCTCCCAAGAGCCTAGATTAGAAAAGCTGGCAGAGAGTGATAATATTGAACACTTTCTTATAACTTTTGAAAGGATTGCAGCAGCATGTAGGTGGCCTAGATCTGACTGTTTTTTTTTTTTTTTGCCTTATTCCATTGCTTACTGGTAAAGCTAGAGGTGCCTATGTTAATATGGACCTGGATGATGCTCATGACTATGACAGTGTTAAAGATGCTATTCTGCAGATGCAGGAAAGATTCCAGCACACTGCCATTACACCATCAGATGCAGTAGCTCCAGATTTGCCACTAGGTTTTAAAATGCCTTCAGACATAGTTCAGATGCAACAAGATGACCCCAGTTTAGTAGCTCTATTAAGGAGTGCTAAAGAGAGAGAGATGGAGAGTGAGTTGGAGTACAGTTCTGGAGAAGAGTATTTCCTACAGAAGGGTATTCTCCACCATCAACATGGACCAGTGAAGCTAGTGGTTCCCAAAGCAGCCCGAGACACAGCACTGGTCTTGGGCCACTCTGTTCCCTGGGCTGGCCACCTAGGGAAGCACAAGGCCCTGGCTCGGATTAGACAACACTTTCACTGACCTGGTTTGCGGGCAGATGTTGCCCAGTTCTGTAGGACTTGTCCTCAGTGCCAGAAGACTACTCTACTGTGGAAAGAAGTGGGCTCTCGACTGATTCAAATACTACCTTCTGGGGAGGGAGTTCACTCTACAGACTGATCAGTCACACTGAGGCAAAAGCACATGGTGGTAACTTTCATTTGTTTGTCTTATCTTTAGCTTTAGTTATATTTAGGTTTAGAACATTAGACACAATTAACAATAAATAACTGGACACAGATTTTGGATTCATAATACAGTTTTATTATCCATTTTTGACAGCCGTTATCTTTTTAGGGTGCACACAATTGGTTAACTTTCTTTGTCAATTTTTGGTAGTATTATTAGGTGAATTCATTTAGGTTATTTTTCACTGCATCAATTCAGTTTTCTTTGAGTTACCAGTTCCTGGGTGCTGCTGCTGAAGGTGTCCCATGGCCGACAAAGGAAGGGCTGGCTGAATCAGAGACGCTTAAAAGGGGTTGTGCCGATGATTAGGCTACACCATGTTGGCCAAAATCATGGGGAGAGGCAGTGGTTTCTCGTTATTTGAGTTTGTGTCTCAGTTTAGTTAGGTCGATTTGGTTGGTTGGTATAGCATGTTCAATTTGTTCAGTTAATGTAGCCTGAGTTAAGCTCTGTTTAGTTGACCTCTTTTATGGGCCCAGAACATTTTGTATATTTTGTAAATTGATTATTTTCAAAAAAAAAATTGTGAATAAAATTATTATTTGTGAAAATTTAACCTTGACTCCTCATGCCAGCTCAGTCCCTGACATGGGCCTTCGTACATGTTCAACAGACAAACTAACAGCGTCGCGTGCAGCCCCGCAAGACGCATCCCGCCTCCTCTTTGGTTTTGTTTCGTCTCTAGGTGTCTCGGCAGCACATCGTGAAGCAGCAGCTGCATACCAGGGCCAGACCCAGGAAGATGTAGGTCAAGCTGGTGGTCCAGAAGGCAAACAGGTACAGTGTCTTGTCGCAGTAGGGATCCACATCTGTTGTGTTCTTGTTGTAGTTGGGCTCGTAAATAGAGTAGATCCACACGTTACCTGGACATAAAGGAAACCAAAAAACAAAACAATCTTACGTCGTTTCCTTGTAGTCCCAAAAGGCTACACCCTCCTATAACCTGACTGGACTCTTTCTGCTCCAGGAATTCAAAAAGGACCAACATGGCGGCTCGTTTTGGAAACTTTCTCTCATTTTACAACAACAGTTCACCAAAATGTGTTTGTAAAAACCTTTTAAGTTTGAAAAATGTCGTACAGTTGCTTAATCTGCCTTAATTTTAAAGTGTCATGCACTCAGTTGCCAGTTTATCATATCAGGTTAACCTAACCTAAAACTAATGGAGACTATGGTCTTTGTTGCTGGTGAACTGTACGGCCCCAATGAGAATTGATGAGAGAATTACTCTTAACTTCAACAAACAACTACCAACCGGAAAACAAACAGAATGCACTTCCCTTGGTCAAATAAGCTAAATGTCACTTTTTGGCCTCACTTATCAGCCTATCGCTGTTTTGACTCACCGGCAATAAACCAGCAGAAGAGGAAGAGAGACATCAGCGAGTTCCAGGTGGCGCAGACTCGACTGAGCAGGTTGGTGGTGCCGTCTTTGGGCTGTTGGGTGCACGGCAGGCAGGCGAGTAGCGCCAGCACCAGGCCGAAGACTCCCGCCACTATCAAATAGATGGGGATGTAGTGCTGCTGCGGACAGTCATCCAGATGTACTGCACCTGTTGGGGACATACAGAGGAGGGGCAACAAGCGCAGAGAGATTCTGACTTTCCATCAGTACAACAATTATTTAGTGAAACTGTTGTTTTAAAATTGAATTCAAACATGAATTTAATGTCTGTAAATGTCGTCATTCACTTACCAATTGCAATCTGAGCGATAGGCATGATGCACAAAAACAACTTTGAACTTGCTGCAAGAGGAAAGAATACATTTAGATGAAAGACACTTAGAGCCTCTTTTCTGTCGTTAATCTGAGACAAATCAAACTATGACTGTGAGGATTCTGTCAGCTGATCTCACCTAGTATTGGTACTGGGGGTTGATGGTCGTGGATGCTATGAATAAGTCCAGTGTCTGACATTATTGGGAATGAGGACTCCGACCTACAGAGGAAGATAATGAACTGAGACAGAGTCGACTAACAGGGTCTCCATTGTTAAAAAAATACAAAGTCAGCATGTACAAAGATCTTTAACAGCCAGACGACGAGAAGAAACAAAACAAACAAGTAATGACATATTTTGTGGGCGGAGCCTAACCGGTGGCAGAAATACGGTTCCTGCGGCAGCTAGCTTTGTTAAGTTAACCGCAGCGCTCACACCATCGTAGTCATCAGCCGAAACAGTAACATAACGAACACTGAACGCTGGAATTAACCCTTAATGCTCTAAAATACATTGCAATCATAGAGTGCCTCACTATATCTGTAATGTTCCTGCGCCACGAAGGCCGCTCCTGCCAACTAACACATCCACTCAGATAGTATTTTGATAGGCAGGCGAGCTAAGGTTAGCCAACCCAACCACTAGCATTTTTTGGAGAAACGAAGTAACCTTCAAACAGCATTGGTGGTAGATTGTCTGGCGTCTGCAGGTTACTGTCCCAGCTGGCATTGTGGGGCGGCCTGTCCCAGATAATGTTAGTGGCTGACCTGCTAACCTTAGCCCGCCTGCATGCTGACGTTATGGAGTGGATATGTTAGTTATGATACTAACTTTAAGTATAATGACAAACGGCGTTGATATCAACAGCACAACAACCATTGTTTCTTTATTCCAGTTACTCTAAGTTACTGTCAGTTTCTCTCCACTTGTTGCCGCTTTTTTTTCTGCCACCACAATGCGCACGTGACTGCAGTGACGTAACCATGACGTCTACTCCAAATTGGTCCATTTTCACATTTTTGACAGTTTCCCCTGGGAGCCATGAGAGACGTGTTAGATCCCGAGTTACCCCCGTATAGGTCCAGCTCTCTGTTTAAAGGGTCCGATCCTCCTGCCTGTGGGTATTACAGCTGCTGCTTGTCCAATTCCACCCTGTTGGGCTTGGTGCCTGCATGGCCTCCACAATGGATTCTTCAGGGACCACCCTTCCTTTGGGTGTCTCTTCCCACTTCTCGTTTCCGACAAAGACGATTCTTCTCTGTTGTCCTCTGGATCATCTATCTGTCCGTTTGGCTGGACGACGGTGGCTCCACCTCTGCCTCACTGTTGTCTTTGTCTTTTTAAGTCATCTGCTCCTCAAAGCCTCCCTTTGCGCTTCGGGTCAGGGATGAGTTGCAGACTTGTTGGGCTACTCAGCACCGTTCGCTGGGCACAGCTTGACTTTCCTTGTCGGTCGCTTTGTCTTGGGTGCTCAGCGGTTGTTCTCTCTGCTGCACGCTCCTTTCTGGCGCTCGGGCAGATGTGTTGTCTGCTGCACGCCTTTCTCTCTCTCTCGGGTCGTTTCAGGAACAGTGGTGGATTCCTCCTCTACTGGAGTTCTTCCTTAGGTTAGATGAGTCCTTTTCGTCGAGCCCCACGTTAGGCACCGCGTGTTAGATCCCGAGTTATCCCTGTATAGGTGGTACTGGACCAGCTCTCTGTTTAAAGGGTCCGATCCTCTAACCTGTGGGTATTACCCTGCCAGGTCTCAGCAGAGGACTATTCAAGGAGACACGCGTAACTTCTAACTGCCGCAGCACCTGACTGAATAGCCCTAGAGTCAAATACCACACTAGACACGTCCATTCACGGCAGCTCTCCTCATATTGATCTGTGCACTTGGTAGTTGCTAGGATTATTTTTAGTAGCTTGTACAGTAAGCCCCAAGGGTCTGTTTATTTTTTCTTTAGCTAGAGTAACCTGTTACAACCTTCAAGATGTTAAACACACTACCTAATAATTATTGCCTGTTGAGATAACATAAATCCAATGTCCACAATTTATTCTTTAACTGCAGTTGTTATATTTTATTGCAAGATTTAGCAAGGGCTAGCATACAGCTTTAATTGATTCAAAATTAATTATTTATATTCACTGATAAAGATTAACTATATATCTGATGTTAAAAAGAATTATGAACTTACCAGTGCAGTCTCTGATGGCAGGGAGAACAAAAGAGTGTTCAAGTTCAAGGATGCGTTGCTCCGATGTGGTTGCTCGATCAGCAAGTCTTGAACCCGAGAGCCGGCCAAGGACTAACCCTGATCCTCCTTGTGTAACGCCTTTTATCCCCCTTGTCCTCCTTTGGTGTTGTTTGGTTCCTGTTACTTCCTCTTTTGCGTGCACTCAACTTTTTCTTTCTCTTCGACTATCTGGTTGCTATACGTGCCTTCTCACCTCGCTACTCAGTATTTTCACATGATGTGCTCTTCTAATACGTGCCTTCTTATCGCGTTACTCAGTTTTTCAGCATTATTTTCTCCTCCAGTATGTGCCTTCTCGCTCGTTACCCAGTGTTTCAATATGATTCTCCCTTTTGACCTTACTTACCGTAGTTCTAACTTAGTGTTATATATTCACACTAATAAATTATCAAATAATCAGTTACTATCATATAATCATGTTTCCTTTCATTGTTACATATTTCATTTTGTAATATAGAATCAACTTCAGTCATTCAGAATACATGAGATAAAGCATGCAATGCAGATTTCTCAGGGCGTGTGACGTCAGTAGCCTTTTTTCATTAGCATATTGCAACATTTCACTTGCATGTTGCCACCCACTTCAGCTTACTTCCGTCTTGTCTAGCGGACCTTCGCCATTGTTCCTACAAGGAGAGAGCGAGAGACTGGCCAACAATATGTCTGAGCAAAGGCTTAAGCACTCTAACTGTTCAGTCCTTGGCTGCACAACCCAACACAAATCTCTACATATGTACGAGCTCAGTGGATTAATTTTATTTTTGATGGCAATGTCCGGCTAGAGTCGGAAAAGTCGTCTTCGGACTGTTTTCACAACCTCGGTCAGTACAATACTGGACTGGTTAAAAGACTGTTCCTGAAAGAGGGATTCGTACCAACTGAGATTCACACAGAGTTTGTGCGGTGAATCACCAAGCAATTTCACCCTTACCCCAGTACCTGTGTGCAGGGGGTGAATCCGTAAAAGTTACTATTGTGAGTTTTGTGGCCGGGGGAAATTGGCTATATGTTCATCTGTAATTTGGCAAACGTGCATGCTTTTCAGTAAGTACTATGTTTGTGTGTGTCGCTGCTAGAATTAGCAGAGATGTAACCTCCGAGCAAACGAACGGTAGCCGACCAATTTAGACTATTTTAATTGTCTGTGTAGCTTTGATTAGCACACAGCAGCTCTGTGAGTTCACTGCCTTACTTATAGTTACTGAGTCCGCTGTCGGACTTTATATCGTAATACAAGGGACAGTGTGATCGTTAAGCCTCGTTAGAAGCTACCAAAATACTGAGAGTAAGTTATGGTGATTATTTTTCATGATGCTTCTTGTGTAACTTTCTGCCGACGTGCAAACCAGCTGGGGCTGGTGTGTGTGCTCCTGTGTGTAAATTCCCTTGATCTACGTGCACCGGAGTTAACAATAGAGCTACTGTGAGATAGAAATAGTCAAACTGCAGGGATTGATTAGTTTAGTAATATTCTGTAACTTTGATTATCACTGAATGAGCACCAGATAATGATACGGCCAGGGCCATAACACAGAGCAGCTGGGGTTGCTCACTAGACTGTTTGTGGAGTCAAACCGCGACGAGTAAACGTTTTCTGATCCATATATTTAGCGTTACTGCAGTACTGGTATTACTGACGATATAAGTGCAGGTCCAGTGTAACCTACTCACATCATCTCCTATTGTATTATAAACAAGCTGCTGCCATTAGCTAGACATTTGTGTTGGTAACCTCAGACTGTTTCAACAACACATCACTAGAGCAACAAGGGACCCACCAGAGACACTGCTTTATTATTTTAGTTTATAACTTAGGACTACTGTGAGCCACAATGACCTGTTGTACTTGTATTATATTATACTGTATTATATTATACTGTATGTTAGTAGAAATGCAGCTAAACTCCAAAACACCGCAATGCTGAGGCGGAAGTGGGAGGGGCCGGAGTGTCGTCTGCGTCATAATGCTGACCAATCAGAGCAGACTGGGCTTTTCAGGAGGGGGGCCTTAAAGAGACAGGAGCTAAAAAGAAAAGGAGCATAATATGTCTCCTTTAAAGAAAAAAAAGGCAGTAAATTCTGCACATGTAGAAATGATAAATAATAGGATAGGTTATGTACCTTTCTGTGTGTAAGAGTACCTCCTTGGTGTATCTCCTCCCTGACAGCTGGAGGGGAAATAAATTATGAACTGCTGCATCTGTAGGCAAGAGGCAGTTCACTGAAGTGTGTGTGTGATTTTAACTTCCTAATGCAACGCCTTTCTTTTTGATGATTGTTTTCTGTTCCCAGTCTATTACAACAGCGTCTGTTCATGAGTTGTAAAGTCATAAAAACTTTAACTTTAATAAAAAAAAGGTAATAATTCAGCATTAATTTGGATCCTGTTTTCCCGTTTGTCAGAGCAGAATTTTCCCTCCAACCTTCAGTCTGGATCCAGGCTTTGATTGGTGGAAGGTTTTAAGTTTTAGATCCTCCTCACCAAAGATGCCCAAAAAATTATTCTAAAATATTAAGTCACTAGTTCTCTGAAGAACTACAGACTCAATGTGATGAACTAAGTCTCTTTCCTTATACTGCATGGAGAGAAGACCTCGACATGATTTTCAGAGCGCTTTGCCTTTGAGTGGCTGACCTCCTGACAAGACTGATTCAGTCAGTTAATCATACCTCAAATACCTGCCTTCCTCAGTACACTGGCCTTTTAATGTGAGCTCTGCTCTGGCTACCTTATTTTTCAGTTTCCATATTTTTTTTAATCATGTTTTCGCTGTTAAATCCCATCGTCATTCATCTTGTCTTTAGATGTGTTCCTCTGTTTACAATGCTCTAGGACTGAAAGAAGGAAAAGTTATAAAACTATAGTTTTCTGTTGTCTGTGTGTAAGATATCTGAACCCAGATCTGAGGACTCAATTGCAAAACTCAAATTCACAGAGCAGGTGGAGTTAAAGAGGCTGAGGACTGAGACAAACTGGCAAAGCTTGAGGCAAAAATATGCTGATATATACTGGGTGACTAATGAGGGAACGAGGGTCAGGTGAGCAGGTGGAGATCAGGTGGTTGGAGTGGGCGGGAACACACTGAGGGCAGCTACCAGACAGGAGGAAATCAGAGCCAAGTCGAGGTCAGAGGTTAACAATAAGTTGTAAAAGAAAAGTCCTGATTACAAATTGGGGAAAACTGGAATTGACATATTATTATATATTACGTATTTTCTTGTGTTGCACAAGCTGTGTAATTGACATGATGAGGCATTGTCAAACGTCACCAAACTCACTTCCATGTTTGTAGTTGTGAAGCTGCAGACATTACTATCCAAACAGTGACATTCTATTCCCACTAGAACAGGTTGCTTTCAGTTTTATAATTATCAACACAATAATTGTAATTATTTTTGCAATGTGCACTTTCTACCACAATTAAATTTTTTTTAAATGGCTGAAAAAATTGCAGCATGAATCTAAATTTTCAGTGAAATCTGGTAATTTAGGCCACAGTCCTCTAAAAACAGCTGCCTGTTTATCTGCACACAACATAAATAATATAAAATGATGATGTCCAGGAACTGCTGTTTGTAGTTGGAAATGGAAATATTGTCATAATTTTGTGCTTTCTTGTACTACCTGACAATACCAGCAGTCGCCTCAAGCCAATTTGAGTTTGAAACACCGATGAGTGGAAGTTCCCAGGTTTTGGCATCATAATTTAACCCTTCTTACTTCGTGGAGTCACTTGGATATTACATTTCCTCCAGCAGTTTTTAACATCTGACTGCTTACACATTGCACTTTCTATTTGTACAGAGTTTCAACATACCACATGTCCACACCTTTATCTTTTAATTAATTCTTCAGATGGCAAAATACAACAATGCATGATGGTTAATATACTCAATGTAATCTTAATATTTAGTATAAAATTTACAGCAATGAAACTCATCTGATAGTTTGAGTTTAGTGTTGAGATTAAATATCCCATAAAAACCAAAAAGGGAACCATTAGAAATGCCAGGAATAAAGCACTGCTGCATCAGGTAGCATTAAGTGCATGATGGGAACTGTGTGGGGTATGATTGGTTAATGTCCTTCCTTACACAAATTATCAACAAACATGAGCATTAAAGCAAAAATAAATGAATTAATTCACAAAGAACACACATTTTTATCACTTTATCCTGTACAAATTTAAGCTCCTCATGTAAACAGTACATCTCTTTTGGAAAGGCAGTGACAGAGAAAGGCTCTTTCTATTTCTTTCAGAATGCAGTGCAGCTTCTGCAGAGGTAGAAAGGGCTCAGCATTAAGAAAACACTTACAGAGATGATTTATAATCAGTGTTAAAAACTACAGCATCTGGGAGTTCGGCATGTGTCTACTCCAAGGCTGGAACATATTAGTGTTGTGTTGCAAAGTACGAAACATTAACTTCACACGATCTTAAAGGGAAAGAAAACTTGGACCTCGATGTCTACTGAGGGCAAGGTACAATAGAAAAGTGCAAATGGGCCTTCGTAGATGTGCAACAGACAAACTAACAGCGTCGCGTGCAGCCCCAGCGAGACGCATCCCGCCTCATTGGTTTTGTTTGACTCTAGATGTCGTCGGGGTCAGCTCGGCCGCACATCCAGAAGCAGACGAGCATGCAGCAGCCGCCTACCAGGAACAGACCCAGCAAGATGTAGACCAAGGTGGTGGTCCAGAAGGCAAACAGGTACAGCGTCTTGTCGCAGTAGGGATCCACATCTGTTGTGTTCTTGTTGTAGTTGGGCTCGTAAATAGAGTAGATCCACACATTACCTGGACATTAAAGGAAACCCCAAGGAAAGAGATTCACATCGACAATTACAGACACCCCTAGTTTGTATAAAGTAGCCTAGACCTAGGCCTAGCTACCAGAATGCATTGCACAGCTGCTCACATAGAGAATGAATTGGAAATGACTGATCCTGTGGACTCGTCCCTTAACTGTATAATTTCTACCTCAAGGAGACAATTATGTTTTGAACAGTTGTGGAATGGAAGATAACAGCTCACTAC